ACTCTCTCTCTCACACACACACTCTCTCTCTCACACACACTCTCACACACACACTCTTAACACAATTTTTTTTGTTGTTGTTAGGAAGAATATTAATTTTAAAGAACAAACCAGTGTTATTAGTCACTAAAACCATTAAAAAAAAATTTTTTTTGTTAAAAATAAATACAATTTGACGTTTTTATGAATATTTCTTTAATCAATTTTATTTTTATTTAAATTTCTTATTTAAATTAATTTTTAAAAAATATAATTATTATTTTTAATTTAATAAATTACATTTTTATAACTTTATCTAATCTTTATATTTCATTTTTATTTCAAATAACAATAATGTTGTTTTTAATAATTTTAGGTTCAGTTAACAGTAATAACCCAGATACACAGCATAATAATAATAATAATAATATAAATTGTATTTTTTTTTATCTTTATTTCAATTAACAATAATGCTTTTAATACTTTGTTAACTATAATAACCCTGATGCATACATATACATACAAACATAATACAATACTATAATAATAATAATAACAACAATACATTAAAATATAAAAAAAATATTAATAATTTGAAAATGGCTACAACTACAGATAAGATATAACGATCCTTATTTTCACAAGATAAACCCCATCAGGCTGATTAGGAGCCTGATGCAGACGCAGATCACGTGACCTACTCAATATATAGAAATGATCATTAAATATTAATCAGAGCGTGAATGATTGTATTCTGTGAGCAGAGCTCTGCAGGAAATCGAAATTTCGAATATTCATAGAATTTAAAATAAAAATCCACACTCGAATGCAAAAACGTTGCATTCTAATTTTAGGTGTGCGTCAGGCAGCTTATCAGCGGCGCACGAGATGCGATGACGATGTAAGTGTCGTTGCATTGTAATGTTTTTCATCGCTTATCCAGTTGAAGCCACTAGATGCGGCGCTGCTCCGTTGTTCATTACAAATATTGCAGGAAAAGAGAACATCATTGCAGAGAATATGTCGTTTGCATCAAAACTGAAACCAAGCCGTTCACACAGAACGCATGTTTATTGCATTTTCTAGAGGGACATCTATCAGCTTTGCACTCGCGTCTCGCACAAGTTTAGAAAGTCATAAAATTAATAGTTCAACTTTTAAAAAACACGTCTCGAGACTTTATGACGGTTTTTCTGCATCCACTGCATCTCATGTTTTTAAATGAAGAATGTACTCTTTGTGATTGGTTTTCCGTCCTTTGTATTAAACTATTCATTACATTGTTTAGTTTCTAAATGTTTATTGCATTTTCTAGAGGGACATCTATCAGCTTTGCACTCGCGTCTCGCACAAGTTTAGAAAGTCATAAAATTAATAGTTCAACTTTTAAAAAACACGTCTCGAGACTTTATGACGGTTTTTCTGCATCCACTGCATCTCATGTTTTTAAATGAAGAATGTACTCTTTGTGATTGGTTTTCTGTCCTTTGTATTAAACTATGCATGATGCTGTTTTGTTTCTAATTGTTTAAGCAAATTAATTTATTATATATGGTTTATAAACATTTTAATCATTATGCACTTTTTTCAAAGACAGTCGTGCTACTTTATTGATTTGAATAAACGTGCATTAGTAATATTTTGCTCGATGCGCCCTCTTGTGGCCTCAGGAGAGAAGCTAAAAGCTTCCCCCCCTAACTGAAATTATGCCTTTTAAATTCAAATATTGATAATATTTAAGTACAAAATTCAAATTTAGTTTTTCAGCCATTTTGACAGCCTTACTACTGACTAATCAGTAGTAAGTGAGTGTGTGAGAGAGAGAGAGAGAGAGAGAGAGAGAGAGT